ATAAATAACAAACGTAAAATGTTTGTACCTTTAGGCCTTATTTATTTTTTTAAAGATTAATACGTCTGAATTTGAATACACATTTTAATATCAAGATGTGCATTAAGATTAAGACATCTGAATCTGGATACACATCTGAATATATTAAGATGTGTATTAAGATCTGAATACTAAATAATTAAGACTGTTTGATTTTTAACATCAGAATGCATAAAATTTATCTTTATTTGAAAATTAATAAACATAAAATTCAAATGAAATACTAACTAATCTAATATTCCATCAATAAAATATATATTTTTTTAAAATATGATAGTTGTTGGTGGTGATGGCTAACAAGTGAATGCCGACTATAGGCGGTGGTTGGTGGTAGTTTTGGTTGATGATGGTGATTCCTGCTAGTAGCTAGTAGTGAATGGTAGTGGTGGCGATTATTATTGAGGATGGTGGTGGTGATAGTTAATAATGGTGGGTGGTGGTAGTAATTGTGACTGAGGAAGGTGATGGGTGGGTGGTGGTAGGTTATAATGATGGGCAGTGCCGGCTGTGGTTGTTGATGGTGATGGGGTGGTCAGTTGTGGTAGTTGAGGTGGATGAGTGTTGATTGTGGGTGAGAATGATGGTGGTCGGAATGGTGGGAATAGCGGGTGGTGATGGTCGATAATGGTGGGGCTATGATTGAGGATGATGGTGGCGTGGTAGTGGTGGGGGATGGTGGTGGTTGTTGAGTATGGTGGTAGTTGATAATGGTAGGCAGTGGCGGCAGTTAATAATGACCATGTGATGGCATCTTAATGAAATTAAGAGCCCGTTTGGATTGGCTTGTTTTAAGTGCTTTTAAGCTAAAATAGCTTTTAAGCCATTTTGTAGTGTTTGGATAAAGTAAAAAAGTGCTTTTAAGCACTTGTTTTTAAGCTAAAATGACAAAAACAAGCCAAAAGCCAAAAGTTAGAATTCCTAACTTATGGCTTAAAAGCTATTTTGGCTTAAAAGTCACTTAAAACAAGCCCATCCAAACGGGCTCTAAATTTCTATTATAGATCTTAATCATACAGACCTATTCAGAACCATTAAGTGATTGTGAAGTAAAAAAAATAAACACACTTAATAATTAAGATCTGAATAATTAAGATTCAGACTTTAAAAATAAACGCACTTAATATTTGAAATCTGAATAATTAAGATTCAGAGTGCAAACAAATGAGGCCTTACTCCCTACCAGTTCTTTTTTAATGTCAAGCCCAAATTAGCTAATTCGTGTCCCTTAGGAGTTAAGAAAGATCGGATGATATCATGCGACACTAATAAAAGCAGGACGAACTAGGCATGCTATTTTCTGTCCTCTTCATTAACTAGATAAACAGTTGACTTTACCAAATTGTGTGCTAATCTTATGGCCATATTAATAAAATAAAAATATAAAGAGAGTAATAACATGTGATTCCCGCCTAGTGATAGAGCATAGCGTTGTAACCCTCATGTTTCATGCCACTTGTCCTTGATTGCCTAATTAATCACCAGGAGTAACTATACTATTTTCCCTCGAAAAGTTGATGACCGGAAAGGAACAAAAATTTAGGGTAATTCTTCAAAAATATTATTCGTATCCAATTTTAATTTTGAATTAATAAATACACGATAAAAGTTTTCATATACTCTCTTATCAAAAGAATATTTTTCATTATTTTAAATAATAATTTAATTATAATATATTAGTGTAATTCAATTCTATAACATTGTGTGTGAGTGAATTTCCCCTAGAGTCATCAATATGGGCTTGGCCCGTTGGGCTAGTCCGGCCCATCCTGTGATTTAGCAAGGTTGAGCTAGAAATTTTGGAGCCCATTTAAAAACGAGGTTTTTAAGCCCGGCCCTAGGAAGCCCGTGGCCCGTAAGGCTTGACTAAGGTTGGGTTGGGCCGGCCCGTGGCCCTAATAAAAAAATATATTTAATATATATATATATATATATATATATATATATATATATATATATATATATATATATAA